CCGGATAATAATATATAAATTTTATAAAAAATATTTATTTTGAGAAATGTAACCTCTTGGAAAAAAATAGAATGGTATGGGAGATCAGGGTTAGTTATTAAACTGTATTTAATTATCTGAAATTCCGATAAAGGGGTAAAAATAACGTACTAGAACCGTATTTTTAAATTATTTTGGTGTATGAAAATCGTATATTCGTAATCGTATTTTACGGGGAACAGACATCAATCATTTTCTCTCGAAAGAAAGAGACCCGGCAATAGATTTGAAAGCCGCTACCATAAAATACAAACAAAACAAAAAAAACATATAAAAAATTCTCGTTCAATTATTTTATATTTTATTTGTTTTTGAAGAGCTTCCTGATTACTCTTTAATCTCCACTGTTCACTTCACTATCTTCCTTCTCAGATCCTTTCCGTTTCCTTCACTAATTTATCTTCTGGATCGCTTCATGAAGTTTTGATTTGTCGCACGCTTCACGAGGTAAGAAAGTAAATTAGTGGAACTGTTTTTTTTCTTCTTCTGAAATTGTTGTTTGTTTGGTTACTGAGAAAGACGGAGGATTTCATGCTTGAGTTTCGGTAAGAGTAGATCAATGTGAAAGGAAATGCATATTGTTGTTTACTGATGCTGAAGATCTCTAATCTCATTGAAGATTTGCTCTACTTAAATAATCTGTTTTCACCCGTTTTTTCTGCTGACTTGGTTGCATTTTTTTAGTTGCCTACTCCTGAATATGTTTTTAGTATCGCTGAAGCGCAAGTCTAAGATCTAATTTAGTGTTGCTTGTTCATTTTTTCCTGCACAAGTTTACAGCAACAGTGAATATATATATATATATATTTGCAAATTGATCTGTTATTTATATCCTTTTGAGGTTGTAACTTGTAGAGATGAACGTGGATAGAAGGAGATAATCGAAAATTAGTAAATATTGCTGGTAGTTGCTATGAAGGCTTGAGAAAATGTAAATTAGTGGAAGTGTTAAATTGCTTTTCATTGTTTCGTAGTTAGCCTTACACTTGTTTGTTTTATTCAGTGTGTGATGGATTCGGAAGATATCTTGCGTGTTGATGGGCTTGATGAGGTTGCTCTTCAAAATGGTGTTGGTAGAAAACTTTGTTTGTCTGGGGACGACAGTGATATTTCAGATAATGTGAATGTTGAGAAAACCTTCCAGCCTTATTTGCAGAATGAAATGGATGATAATGGAAAAACTGGGGAAGCTAGAGAGAAATTGAATGATTTTTTGGATAGTAATGGATTGATTGATTCTAAGGTAGTAGATCTTACATTCTGTTTGGGTTCTTCTATTAATGGTTTATATTTGATGCAGTAACAGTTTATAACCTATCAATGAACAGAACCAGATGATGAGAATTAAAAATGAGGTTAAACTGGTTATATTTTAATTATTTTGATGTTTTGTCATCATCTAATTCATTGACAGTGTACACTCAACTATCAAATGTAAATCCTTATATTAATTCCCATTAATCTGAATTTCGTGTTTTATGAGTGTGTCTGTCTTCCATAGGAAGGGAAATTTAAAGATAATGCAAATCAATCCAAAACTCAGAAGGTTCAAGGCAAGGCCAAGAATGAGAAGCCCTCTGATCCCAGAAATGTCTCTTCAGCTTTAGTGAAGAAAAGTAAAAATTGGAAAAGTGAAAAGGCAACTTCAATAGCTTCGAATGGTGGTTTTCTTGCTACAAATTCACGTCCGAAACAACCTCTTCAAAGTAGATCAGTCAATGAAAAACAAGGCAATGCATCCAAGGTCGGAGCTGATATCCTTTTCTGTGCATTTTTCTTTTTAATTTTGCAACTATTACTGTCTTTCTGATCATTGATTCCCTCTCTCTGCTTCTGGCAGTATTCTGAGAAATCTGGTGCACCCTTTTTTGAAGGCACTATGTACGTACTAACAATGCTTATGTTAGAATTTCTTCTCTTTTATCATGCAGCCTTCTTCCCATGTTATTGATTTTAACCAACTTAGAGAGCCTTGGAATTAGACCTTATGTTTGAGATGATGAAGGATGCTTTCTCCTTCCATTTCTCACCCGTTCTATTGTGTATGATAGAGAGAAACCCAAGCCGAAGCCTCTGAAGAAAGGGCCTATTCATAAAGCTGAAGAAGACACAGAGTCCTCGTATCCTTTACTATTTGTACTTTCCATGATTACTTCCTGTCTTGGACTATAAGTTGAAATAGTTTTCTATTTAAGCCTCTTCCTGGCTCTGGTGTATAAGTGTCTTTTTTAATTGATATATTTCTGTTTATCCTTAATTGGTTCGTAGAAGCCCCAAGGCAGCCGATGCCAAGCCTAGTAGGGTTGGTACCCTTCCAAATTATGGTTTCAGTTTCAAGTGTGGTGAACGGGCTGAGAAAAGGAAAGAGGTTGGCTCTTTAGTTTATATTCTTGATATTTTGCATTGCCTATTTTGGCAACTCTTTTAATAACTTTTTAACTCTTCTCCATTGCGTTGTGAAGTTCTACACGCAACTTGAGGAGAAGATTCATGCACGGGAAGTAGAAAAGAGCAACTTGCAAGCAAAGTCCAAGGTGTTATTTTGTGAATATGATGACTTAAGGCCTGAAATTGTTTATTTCTTATCATAACAACGTTTCAAATTTCTGACAGGAAACTCAAGAAGCTGAGATTAAGATGTTTAGGAAGACTTTGACTTCAAAGCAACTCCAATGCCAAGCTTTTATCAGGAACCTTCACCACCTAAGGTGGAGTTGAAGAAGGTTTGTTTAATGTTCCGATGCATGAAAAGCTAGAAATGCAAATGGCATGTTTCTTAATATTATTTATTTACTTATTTCTCCTCTCTTTCTTTTGGGTGTGGGGGTCTGAGAGGGCTCAAATTCAAAACGATACATATAGTTGCCAACATTACTTCTTAAGTTTTTATCATTAGGTTTGCCCATCTTTCCACTTTTACGCCTTTGCCATTCAGGCTTTTGCATGTCTCTGCTCCATCCTCCTACAGGAGCCGCTTTCTTTTCTGCAGAATGCTTCTGCTTGATGCTTGAGTTGGAAGTAGTACCTACCTCTGTGAAATGTTGCTGTTTAGCTGTAGCTGATACATTTAACTTAGAACTTTAACCGATTGACAATGTTGTGATCATTAGTGAAAGTCTTTCTGAATGAACCTGAGAGCATAAAATTGATTCATATTCCAGATGTGCTGAGATTGGTCAATCCCTGTTAGTTATGTCATCTACGCATCTTTCCCTGGAGTACCTTGTAGCAGTCACCATGCCTCTTAAACAGTGGCGTGTAATGTCAAAGCTACATTAGTTTTAAACACTGTAGCCAAGTAATATCATAGTTTTTGAATTATGTTTTTAGTTGTTGATGTCATTTGTTTACGTGGCAGCAATGCAGCATGGATTTTTTAGGGCTTAAATTTATCTGCTTTATAGATCTCTTGAAGGGGTAACTTTGAATTCAACTGTTTTAAGTTTCCTTGTTCTATTCCTCAGTTAACAGACCACTCCCCCCGGGGTGCGTGTGTGTGTTGTGCATCATTTTAAAATTTACACTATATTTCCTGCTTCCACAGTTCTATTTTTTGAGTTCACACAAATTTATCGACCATGGCAAGACTTCACGAATCCTCTCTTTTCCTATTTCCTGGGTGTAGATACCGACAACAAGACCTAAATCTCCAAAGCTTGGTCGAAAAAAGGTTCAAGTCCTTTGGACTCTGATGATACCAACAATAGTGGTCACCAATCAGGTCGACTAAGTCTGGGTGAGAGGCCATCTCAGAGCATCTCTGCTAAAGTAGTTTCTCCTGTCCATGCTAAGAAGCCACAGCGTAAATCCCTTCCCAAACTGCCTTCTCAGAAGACTAGTTTATCCAGTGCAAAAAATGAGGAAAAAGCATCAAAGGCACCAAATCAGGAAAAGGTAACTGCATTGAAAGCAACTGCTGCAGGGAAGATAGCCTCATCTAAAGCATCAAATGAGGAGAATCCGACATTATCCGATGCAACAAACGAAGAGTTATCTCCGGTCCAACAGCAGGAGGTAGTTCCTACAACTGATTCAGGTGAAAGCAAGCTCGACATTGACGGAGGACTACTAGTGATTGAAGAGCAAGGACAACTGGAACTTGTACAAGAGCCTATTGCACTGGAGCATTAAAGCATGGCGATGGTTTTCAATCTTTAAAGTGGATGTTCATGTACAAAGCTCTGGACTTCATTTTGCCTAAATAAGGACGCGTCTAAGACTGAATTATTCGAATGATCAAGGTATGAAAATTTCTACATGGTGGCATATGATGTTGTCTTCTCCCATATTCAGCAGCTTAGGTCGTTTAGTGTTGTTGCTTGCAAAGGTTGATGGGCTTGTTATTAGGATTCTCCATTCCTGTTTGCGGCACTACTCTTCTGTCGATCTTTTTATCAAATTGTCATAATTTGTGGTTTAAGGATGGGCTTATTGAATATATTCTGTAAAGTTTCGGAGTTGTCTTTCGTCGTTGTTAGATAATCCGTGATCGAGCAGGGTTTAGCCGCAGCTGCCGAACAAATTGGTATTGTGAATTAAGTCCATTTTGAAGTTCTTAAGCTTCCCATTCATTCTATATATGAAATAGCTTGTAGATTATTTTCCAGGCGCCATGATCATCATTCAACGTGCCGTAAGTGACTTCAGGTAATACTCACTGTACGGATAGCAATGGATAATATTTATTTAGATATTTGCGGATTTTATTATTACGGATTCGGATAGTATTTGGGGTTTGATGTTTTAGTTATCATTAACTGTCAGAGAGTAGATATACATCACATTGAGGGAGTAGACATACTTAAATATTATTTCATACACCACTGGTTTATCACCCCGGGTGTTGTATATTTTATTATAATAATATTATATAATACGGTACAAAATTCAATTCAAAGAAATTTCATTTAAAAAATTCCCTTTGAACGAATAGTAAATTGCACATATATATATATATATATATATATATATTATACTTGTATTAACAGATTTTTCTCCATGATGGGAGAAACCGATATTTCGAAGAAAATGTGAAATCAACAGGCAGCCGTGGTGAAATTACAAGGGGGGCTATGGGGGAATCGGCCGTGAGGTTGCTGCGGTGTGCAAGAATTAGCACCATTGATTTGATGCTCTTCCCCTTTCACTTCCTCTTCTTCTTCTTCAGCGTTCCATAGATACCAAGCATAAGATGCAATGACATGGCTGCAATTCACAATATTATTATTCCACCGGCTCCATCCATGCAAAATATTTACGGGAGAGCAGCTGGTCGTTTCAGTTAAAATATTTGAAAACCGGCTTAATCAAATTCATTCCATAGAATCGGTCGGACAAGAAAAAAATTATTAAATCTATTTGAATTAAAGATGATTTTTTTTTTGACTTGGGCGGATTCTGGCTCAGGACGAGATGAGTTCTTTGTTAAAACATTGAGATTAGGTTAAGATCAGATTATTCTTCCACTACGTTGGATCGGGTGGTTAAAAATTGGTTTAAGGGTCATATTTGCCCCTATAATAGATCTAATTTATCACTTTAGATTTTATCGTATTTTTTGCATAAATTTAGTCATTAAAATTGTTTCATTGCATCATTTTATATTAGTCTCCTAACTTAAAACCCTAAATTATAAGTCATAGCTTAGTATTTAAGGTTTAGAGTTTAGAGGTAATGGGGGTTTATAATTTAGGTTTTAAGTTAGTATAGAATGATGTAATCGAGCAACCCTGCTGGTTAAATTAATGCGAAAATACGATAAGAACAAAAGTGATAAATTATGTCTAAAAGTTACCCTTTTACCTTAAAAAATTAACTCATCATGTACTATTGTCATCTCTAGCTTAAATTGAATTTTGTTCACTTGAATATTTGATGGTTGGATTAAAGTATTTTAAAATTTGAGTTTATCTATCTGATTTGATAGAAAAAGTAGTTAAATTGAATTCAAACTATTTTTATCCACCCATATAAAAACAATAAAAACTGGATGGTTGTTTGATCGGTTAACAAATTGAAAACAAAAGATTCAGAAAAAAATTATACCAATCGTTAGGAGAAGCTTTGAGAGCTCGATCAAAGTAAGATTGAGCCCTAGTTTCATCTCTATGGTTAGTCCATATCAAATCTCCATACATTGATAAAACTTCCCCATCATCTGGTTTCACCAAAACTGCTCTCTTACAATATTCTTCGGCTTTCAATAGATCACCTCGAACCTATTGAATTCAGAAATGAAATCAAACATATATATATATATAGTTAACACCAACAATTATTTTAATTAAAATGTTGATGTAGATTTTAATGGTGGTAATTATGTGAACTATATAAGATTAATAACAGTATATATATATGTTAGATTTTAAATTTAAACGTAATAGAGATCAAAGCTCATAATTCGACTTTTGTGATTCTCACCTCTTTCAAGAATTTAGCATAGTTTGCAAGAAGAATGGTCTCTCCGGGGTAAGTTTCGATCATATTTTGGTAATAATCATCAACCACTGTTTCCCTTCACCGTAATCTCCAAACCCCTGAGCTGCACCACCTTTGCTACCGACATCGCCGCCGGCCAGCGACAACGTCGGTGAGCTGATACTATCAGTCCCTTCTTCCTTAAACGAATCATGAGCCCCTAGAGAACGAGTACTACTAAGTGGACTATGCTTCTTGGGGATAGAAGTTTGCCTCATGTTACCATCCGAGGGTGTTCTTTGCATCATATTGTGTGACGAAGCCGTCACGGTAATCGGCTTCGACCGGTGACCCGACTCGGCCACCGCCGAGCCATGAGGAACGCACAGGATGGGTGTCGATGAGCTTCGTAGAAGCATTTTTGCTGCCTTATTTTAATTTTATTTTATTATATGAAAATATGTTTTTGTTTTCCTCTTGTTTGATGAAAGATTGAGCTTGTTTTTTCTCTGTGTTCTCTGGAACCCTTAGGGTTTTCAGAGAATGAAACAAAAGGAATGCATGAAAAGAAAGGGAAAAAAAAACTTCAAGGTGATGAAACAGACAAGAAAACAACGTAGGATTTGTTTCTTGTGTTTCATTATATATTCATCTTCATGGTAGAGAAACAAGGGCATGTCTTCTGCCCTATTGTATCGCTCGTCGAAACGAAATGATCGGCGATTTCTTCGGCACTTGACGTATCCTGTCATATATGTATATACCCTATTTCTCTCGAAGGTTTGGCCCTATCAAACTTTTTTTCTAAGGTCCAAATTTAACGTGATTCAAGTTTTGTTTTATCCAATCTTAAAAGTTTACGCTATGATAATTCTTTTAATATGATACATTTTTATTTATATATTCAAAAAAATATTTATATGTATAGGCCTTTTCTATTCAAAAAATATTTATATATTCAAAAATACTTTATCATAAATTTAAGAATATAGATATTGATTTATCAAAAAATAAACCAGTTTTTTATTTAGTTTCATAGAATTTAACGGTATGGTTAATGACTATATTAAACATTAAATGGTTCGTTTGAAAATAAATAAAGATACAAAAGAAACTCAACTTCTTTACTTTCCTCTCGTTTTCCCTCCATCCAAACATAACATAAATGTTAAATATCCATTAGATGAATATAAAACATAGCTAGAAATTGTCAAAACGCACACACACACAACCTGAGCTTTTCGGAATTCATCCTCTTAAAGCTGCTAAATGATTTGTGCCCAATCTTCAGTTGATACGCCATACGAGTCTCCAATAAGTAGCTAAAAGAAGCTCGAATGTCATGGACGATATAGCTTACTCCCGCATTTGCATTTCCAGGAAAGGTGATAATAGATATCATCATCACGTTCATCATGGCCAGAAGCTTTGTGTCTCCTTTTATCATTGGGCAGAATAACCAGAGTCGCCATGCACGGCCTGCAACTCGAGCACTTGTTCACACACCTTGGGGGCCTTGAACCCACCTGCAGCTTCTCTTTCTCATTGAAGTTACCTGTTTCATAGCTCGAAAAACCCCAACACAACTGCCAAAAAAATAACATTTACAGATAAGCATTAAAGGAGTGGAACAAATGGCATGACCATTTATGCCTAAATTTTCACCTGGTTTGGAAGGAAAGAACAGCATGGAAGATACGAGGATTGCAGCAATAGTAAGCTTATTTTTATGGTAACATGATGGAGCTGCCATCAAGCTTTGACCTGGTTTTTTTCCTGAAACTTTTAGCTGGGAATATTATAATATGTGTTGGCTATAGGAAGGGCAACAGGGAAACCAATTATCATGGAAGGCAAAGATTTGATTCAAGTGGATGGATATAAAGATTTGATGGTTTATTGCAGGCAGCATAAAAGACAAAACATTTGTCTTAAATGATTTTAACCAAAAATGGTCCGAGAGAAAATTTTTGGCAATAGGAAAGTGAAAGTCACACAGGAAACTCAATAAGTTAAATCTTGCTTCAGTACTGATGTAACAATAGTGTTGTACTGTATTGTTGACAGCAACTCTTGATACAAAACTGTTTTGATCTGTAAGATATTGTCCAGTTCGAGACGCTAATTTATGAGTACCTACTGATTGATGGTTCGAGACGAAAACAACATTTACGAAACGAGATGAGTGAAAATCAAGCATGAGTGCAATCTGCAAGGCCAAGAAAGAATAGTACAAGTGAAAAGAAATGATATTGAGTGAAATCATTGATTCATCCACGCAAAAGACCAAACCCCCCTCGGCTGTCAGAAATAAGTTAGAAAGTGTCGGATAGTGTTGTCATAATGCATCATTTTATTTAATTAGGAAGAGTCCTATCGACAGCAATAACTCACTGGTTTACAGTAACTGGAATTGACATTTCCTTATGGAAAGGCTTTCATTTGATTGACGACCCACTTTATACTTTCTTTATGAGAAAAGCTTAGCAGCCTTACCAAAATAGTTATAAGAAAGTTGGGAAATTACATCTTTGGAGGAGATAATAATCTTACTACGCATAAAAGTTGATAATTTGAACTTCTATTACAATGGATTGAGAGGTTCCGGACTTACAGTCGACAGTTCAGAGAAGATGACACCAGCAGAAACAAGGACTTGGCAAGAAGAAAAATAGCCATGGCCGAAGCCTCTGTTGCCATGAAGAAAGAACACCAATTTCAGGGTTCAAAGTTGAGCCCACTTATCGGACCTTTTATTTCCAAGCCTCTGTTGCCATGTTTGGATCCAAGGGGAAAAGCCTGCGGGTAAACTTTTCAAAAGGTCTGATTCTACTATTGGGCATAAGATATTTAATTTTGTTTTTTTTATGGTCACCCTCTAATTCGAAGGCTTCATGATTAATCTAAATCAACTCGAGTCGTATATTTAACTTTTTTAAGTGAATTTCTCAGTTAAAATTTTTTACATACACAATGACTCTCCTAAAATCTTGTTCAAGCGATATCAAGCTACTTATCACTTGAACCAATCTCGTTTGTGAAATTTAATTTATTTAAAAAATAAAGGTAAAAAAGCACCCGATGTCCCTGAACTTAAAAAAAAACAATTTGACCCTCATCCTTTTTTAGATCAATGTGGCTCTCGAACTAGTAAAAAAGAATCCAATATGACGCTTTTACCAATGGTTCCGTTAATTTCTGTTGAGTAAATTACATCATTTATCACTCAACTATTTTATTTTATTTTATTTTGGTCACTAAACTCTAAAAGTTTTTAATGTCAGAACTTCTATAGACTTCAGGGACTAAGGATGAAGTTAACCCATTTTAGTTTAAACACAAAACCCACCTTCCTTCTCTGTGATTGAGAAAAACTAAAGCTAGCAGTGCCTTCCCCCTCCCAAAAGCACCAACTTCACCTATAATGGGTATCGACTTGGTCGCCGGCGGCAAGAGCAAGAAGACAAAGAGAACTGCTCCCAAGTCCGATGATATCTACCTCAAGTTTCTCGTCAAGCTTTACATGGTAAGGAGGATTGGCAACAAATTGAATGTAGTGATTTTGAAGCGATTTTAAAGCGGTTGTTTATGAGCAAAGTCAACAAGCCTCCTTTGTCTTTTATCCAGTTGGTAGTAAACGAAAAGGGAGCCCTTGAATCTACGGCGGAGCAACACCCAGCAGAACACCGAGCTCACTCAACCATTGCTCCACCACTCGACGAAAAACGATTAACTCCAAAAGCCACTTAACTTTATTAACCATGGCAGAAACAACAAGTTTGTGTGTGTGTTTTTCTTCTTCTTCTTCTTCTTCTCTTTTGTTAGTTAATGATTAACTTTTTAAACCATGGCCGACGGTAGTGGCATCGGTGAAGGCGGTTTTGCCGTGGTGAGGTAAGAGGAGATGCAGGTGGTGGGTTTTGTGTTTAAGATAAAATGGGTTAACTATAGTTCTAGTCCTTGAAGTCTCTAGTATTTCCAAAGTTAAAATCTTTTAGAGTTTAGTGACCAAAATATAAGAGAAGAAAATAGTTGAGTGATAAATAATGTAATTTACCCAGTAAGAATTAATGAAGTCGTTGATCAATGACGAAAAATATTGGTCAAAGGGTCATATTATGTTATTTTTTTCGAGTTAGTGGGTCATATTGATCCAAAAAAAAGTATGAGGGCCAAATTATTTTTTTTAAGTTAAGGGACCTCGAGTGCCTTTTTACCAAAAATAATATAAGTTTACTATATTTTACCTGCAGTTGAAAAATAGAAAAAGTGATTGAAATGGCAATTAGTTAATGGAAACATAGATATTGGAATAATCCATGATACAAAAGACCGAGTCTTGTGAGGAAGTTATTGCAAAGGTTTTGGTTGATGATCAACTACCACATTATTTTCGCCATTAATTTGCTGTACCTGACAAGCGGCACCTATTAAAAAAAACTCACTTTTATATGTACGAACCAAACGACATCGATAGTAAAAAAATTATTGATATTTTTAATATTTCAAGTTCGAGCATCAAAAATGTTAGGATGTGAACGTTCAACGTCAACTGATTAAAAATTACCTTTAAACATATATTACTTCATATTTACCCTTGATTAATAAAAAAAAAAAAAACACATACACAGACCCTCATGTGTTCACCCATTGGCCATGGTGGGTTTAACTGAATTATCAAATCTTTTTCAACTATTGTTTATATTTTAAATTAACTTTTATTTTTTAAAATAATCAAGTTTTCCAATTGTCGATATTATATTATTAGTAAAAATTTTCATAATTTAGTTGTTGATTGAAACGATAGAATATCACACTTTAAAAAATATATGATAGAATGCATGCATCATTTAAGTTAATTTTCATTCATAAATAAAAAAAATATTAAATGTATAAACATGTTCAATCTCATATCTCCTTATATATTAATAATACATTAATCAAACACTTTTCATAAGTAATTAAAAGAAATCAAAAAGGTAAAATATGTGTATATATTTCGATTTCTATTGAGAACAATCTAACTGGTAATAATTAACCATTCTAATTACATGATTATAGTCTTACCAATTGAAGAGTGACAAATTTTCCTTATGTCAAATATATTTATAGCGAAAGAAATATAATTGTTGATGAAATGATAATTATATTATTAGGAATACTAATTTTTTAAACTATACACCGATCATGCTTAAGTTAGTCGAATTCCCTCCTATTTTATCATTCAATGCAACAAGCTTTGGCTTTACTGCTGCCGGCTGTAAATGTAAAATGCAGCCAATGAAACTGGAAGATACACCACACAACAGCAGCAAGGCTAGTGTTGTTTCAAGCTTTGCCATTGAAGAGATGTGTAGCTTTTTTTCTGGGCGGAATCACAAAGTCGACTCAATAGCCAACTACCCCGTATTAGATTCCTGCTCAAAATGCCAACTCAAAAGTTGCAAATTCCCACCTAAATAACGAGTATTTTTCCAAGGAAAAAATTATGCCTTTCACACCCCCAAGAGTTTTCACCACATTTAATTTTAAATATAATCATAAAATCCCAGAGCTGATTTGGTACAATTAACCCATTTTAAAAGTCCAATAAATTGGATGAGCTAGCTAGGGAACATTATTGTACATAGTAGCATAGTGAAAGGGGATTTTCAAAAATATTACATTAATTTTCTTGATCTTTCTTTGTGGCCACGAACCTAGTTCGTTCATGGTGTAAGTAGGTGAAAATCATAATTGCAAAGTAGTTATTACTCGGGGAGACAGCTCATATATAATTTGTCTTTCTCCTTGCACGGCAAAACACCACATTTCAAACCTCGCCACTTCCATATTTATGATATCTCTGCACACTTCTCTTTAACAAGTATTCCCCCCACACATCAAATAACATGGTACAATCAAAGAAGTTCAGAGGTGTCCGGCAGCGTCAGTGGGGCTCTTGGGTTTCTGAAATTCGCCACCCTTTACTGTAATATTTATTAATCAACAACATTTATCACACAACATGCGTATATGTATGTGTTATGCCTGTCTGTGTGTTTTTTTTACAGTGTTTAGATGTTTGCAGGAAGAGGAGGGTGTGGCTGGGGACATTCGAGACGGCCGAGGCGGCTGCGAGAGCATACGATCAAGCTGCGATCTTGATGAATGGGCAAAATGCAAAGACCAATTTTCCCAAACCACAACTCGATGGTGGTGACACAAATGTTGGTGATGATGACGAGTCTCCATTGCCTCCCAAGGCACTATCTGAGCTTTTGAATGCTAAGCTCAGAAAGTGCTGCAAAGATCAATCTCCTTCTCTTACTTGCCTTAGGCTTGATACCGATAATGCTCATATCGGGGTGTGGCAGAAACGTGCCGGGACTCGATCGAGTTCGAATTGGGTCACGAGGGTCGAACTTGGGGGTAATAATAAGAAGAAGGAGGTTAATACGCCGGTGTCGGAAGATGGGACGGCACTGTCGTCATCTTCGAACATGGCCGAAGAGATCGAAGGTGGAAGCCTAATGGGAGAGGAAGATAGGATTGCATTGCAGATGATAGAAGAATTACTCAACTGGAATTCTCCTAGTGGAGTTTATTAAGTGTTTTAGCCAAAGTCATATATCCTTGGAATAGCTTGTAAATTATGGGAAAAAATTAATCCAGTCTTTTGCATTTTCACCCTTTTATGGTAAAAAAAAACCCCATTCATATCTTCCATCTCCACATGTAAAAAACTGGTGCTGTATGCAGTATTTTTACTCGGCAATTGTGAAATTTTACTATATGAAAAGTAAATGTAGATCAGCACCTATACATCTGTTTAACCATACAAACTTAGTCCATCCTATATTATATGGTCTAGTTCTTGTTTTAGTCCCTCTACTATGTTGAAACCTGAGATTTAATATATCGATAATACATCAAATATATACAGTCTCACCCAATTTTAAGTAAATTATACGTGAAGTCAAGCTCACTCTATGTCCCCCACATATTTTTTGCTAATACATGGCTGTCATGTATATTTAACAACATGGTCCCTCAAGTCCAATCCGAACTTTTTTCTCTCTTTATTTTCTTTGCGTCATTAACGCTAGAGAAATCAATATTCACATCTTAATTTAAAAGAATCAAAATCAATATTTAAATGATTGTACGAATTAATTACGTTAATATAATATCTGAATACGGAAATTTCTTATTATAAGACAATATCTTATAGCATAAAACTAAATTATTGGATGGGATGTTTTTGAAAGCTACTACACGACTGATTAATTGAGATTTCTTTTCGTGATTGTGTTTCTGTTTCTGTTATAGAACACGAGAATGATGTTTTAAGAGTCATTTTATAAAGTCCCTCGAATTTCCCTATCCTATATACAGACATGGCAACCCAAATACTGTCTCCCAACACCAGAGAACGAATCCAAAAGATTGTGAAAGACACCAAAAAAATATTTATCGAATTTTGTGTTTCAAATTATGTTTTGATCCTTTTTCCGAAAAATCCATGATGTGACATATACGTAATTTCGTGTAATATTATATTTATGCCGTTAACTTTTGATTAAAATTAAAGATTCATAATAAAGAATATTCATTGTAATTATAATATTTGTATCTCCTTATTAATTCCAAAAATCGAGATTTCTCCTTGGCGAGGAATCGGCTAAATGATCCGTCTGTCTCTCTTATTCACCAGTGGCAGCCTCCGGCCGCTCCATCGATGAAAATAAATTTTGATGCCAGATTCGTACATACACAGAGTCAGTCTTGGTCTGGGGTGGTTATCCGAGTCTCAAATGGCAGCTTAATGGGAGCATGCAGAAGGTGGGTGGGACTTAGTATTCTTGGCGGAAGCGATGTCGACAATGCATGCGGTGCAGTTGGCTCTGGACATGGGTTTTCAGGAGGTTATACATAATTCTATGTATTATCTGTGAATCAAATACAACAACAACAACAAAACCCTATTCCCATATATAATGGAGTAAGGGAGAGGTAGGATAGTAGGCTGTCTCCAACACCAGATTGAGAGCAACTTTCGTGAAAGACCTCATGCATTTAGAAAATTAAAAATAAAAATAAAATACAATGCATGTATAAATAAATAAATAAATAAATACATATTTTGGTTGAATATATCCTTTTTCAAATGTTTATAGTATGATTTTAAGCTTAATATCATCGAGTTATTAAAACAAAGGTTCACATGTATACGTTGTTATCGTTGATCAGTCTATGCTTATGTTAACCCGAGTATAGGACATATAATGTATATGATGTATTTTCTGTGTTATCACTTTAATTTTTTCCTTATTTTTTTAATAACAAAAAGATTCAGTCATTTTTAATCAGGATTTTTCAATAGTAATAGAGTGATTATAAGATAATATTTGTTCAAAAGTTTTCTTAATAATTCAGAATGTACACACACCTACGAACACTGCTGCTTGAACTCATGACTTATGGAGAAACAACACTCCTTCCAACTATTGAAATCACTTGACGAGTTCTTTTAATCATTTTTAATTGTCATTGCTAATAAGTAAATCTTAGAGTGGTATTGTTTTTGTACGAGGATATGATGAGTGCTTAATTTAGTTATTATTTCATTGTTAATTACTCCTTTATTTGTCGGTTTATGTGGCTAAGTTGGGCATTTTCTGTATATGACATTAAATTCTAGAAACTATGCTAAAAAGGGTGATTTATGTAAATTTTTATTTTTTTGGAATCATGGTTGGACTAATGGGCATGATTTCATTGACGTGGTGACGAGTTAACATCTTCTAGAAGGTCCAATCAACATTTTCGTGAAGACAGAACTCTCAGCCGTAAATCCAGACGTGAATTTAAGATTTATTTTTATTTTTGGGATTTATTTCAAACGGAATTATCTTTTGTAATTTTTAGGAATTATCTTTGTATTTATTAGGATTTATCTCTTAGAATTTTTAGGTTTTGAGGAGATTATAAATACCCATTGGAGTAAGCCTTAAAATCATCTCGAATTGTCTTGTTTTTCTTTGTTCTTATTTTCTTTCTTTTATAAAGTTTTTACTTTTCTCTTTAGTTTTTACTTTTAAGTTTTTCAAAGCCAAAGGCTAAAACGATGACTCAATTCCGATCATGATAATAGAAAAGAACGAAATACCCTTTGGGAGGAAGGATAAGCTTATATCATATTTGACTTTCTGGGAACACACTTGGGAACTGAGATCAAATTTGATTCTCAGCGAGACACTAACCGAGTCGGGTTTTTCCAAGGCTTTAAAATCGAGCAATGCTAATAACGATTGTAGTGATTAGTCCACATAAGGACTTACAATCAAATATTGTTTTGGATTGTCGGTTCAATTAAGAGAAAACAAGTTATAGGGGTTGTGCCCTATAAACTGTAATCGGCATGAATCCGAAGTGAAAAAATCTATTTCGATAATCGACGAAATTTGAGGCAAAGCGAAAGCTGTAGGCTGATTTTTAAAATTAGAATTTTAATTCAACTGTACTTCCTTTCAATTTTATTTTCTTTAATTTCAATTTGTAGTTCACGCCTAGTCCATAAGCAAGGATCAATTCATGGCAATTTCATATTCCTTATGGATCGACCATTACTCTATCTATACTTAATTTTTATTGAGATTAATGAATAAATTATTTGAAAATTAAAACGATGTGTTGTCGGTATATAAGAAGGAAGAGAGGGGCAGCTCTCAATCTCAGAGCAGTTGGATATGAGTAAATGCTGCCCGTACGAGGATGAGGTATCTTGTGATGTTAGGGTTCCAACCTATTAGTTAAATTGGGTGCATCGCTTTTAAGCATGTGATGTCGATGCCTTTGTTTCCTTCGTTGCAAGTGACGACGATCGATTCTGTTCACACAAAAACAAAAGTGATGACGATTGATGGTTTCTCAATTGATATGTCCACTGTGGATCGATCTATTGGCGTGTTCTATTATAGTAATGGTAACGGACCCATGGCCTTTGCCGGCATGTGCTATTGCATTCATTCTCATAAATTAAGGTTAGATTTCCGATTTAATATCGTATTTAATTTAATTTTATATACTCTTTATTAATAATTTAATTCACTTAAGTAAGATATCGAGTTTGCGCCTTTGTGTATACAGAAAATCTCTATTGGGAGTCTCACCCACCAAAATTAAATGTGCGAGATGAGTCGGTTTGAATTAGTCAAAGTAAAACTTTAAAATCGGAAGAACAAAAAATATTTAATAAGTTGTTGAAGTGTTACGTAAATTTCAAATTCCTTTTGAAACTTAAATATCGATCTGAAAAAAGTCGGATACCTAATTTAAAAAAGATTACTAAACATTTATAGAGAAATCAATCTACGAGATGACCTCAAAGCTAGACCGAGCAAAATTGACCCGAACTTGATTACTTAAACTGGTTTACTTAACCTAATATCTGATATTAACCCGACATGATAATCAAATTTAATTTGATACTTAATCCGAACCATATCCGATCCAAAAATTTAAAGAAACCAAAATCAACCTGAATCGAAATTAACCCGAACTGAAAGTAACCCGAACTGAATTTTAACCCGATTAGAAAACAGTCCGAGCCAAATTTAACCCGACTCGAAAGCAACCCGAACATATTGAAATTGATAAAAGTTGCTAAACGATTGAAATAAATAAAGTTTAATTATCTTAATTGTTATACAATTATTAGATTTATAATAAAAATAATAGAAAACAACTAAAACAAAAGAAATAATATTAGATTTATAATAAAAATAATATAAAATTTACTTAGGTTACTATTAAAACTTAACAAATAAAGTTTTATATTATTTTTTAAAATTTAATAAAAATATTAAATGTATAATTGGAAATAAATTTTTTAATAAAAATGTATTTCTTAATAAAATAGTTCTCATTATAAATTTTTCATATAGATCAATATAAAATTTCGATAACAAATTCTAAAACATATTATAGGATCGGATTTGTGTCAAATTATCGATTTATCATCTCTAAATGATGGTTTAATTCAAAATATTGAACGATTGAGAATTGAAATCAAACTTAAATGATAAAATTAACAAATAAGAAAACAAAATTTTACAAGTACATATCAATTATTCTATATATACTTGATTTTGATTAAACTCATAATCAATTCAACTCGAATTGACCTGATCTAAAGGTTGACATAAACTGAAAATCAACCGATCTAATATTGACCCGACCTAAAATCTATCTGACCCGGTATTAACCCGACCCAAAAATCAACCAATATGGTATTGACCAACCCGATATTGACCCGATCCAAAAAGCAATCGATTTAATATTGATCCGAATAGAAAAACAACGATCCAATAATCACCCAACCCAAAAATTGACTCGACTCGATCTGATTCACCGTACATCCGAACAAGATCCGATCCGATCCGAATAAAACTAAATTGAATTTAATCTAATCTCGAAATTATTAGATCCAAAATGATCCGACCTAAACCCGATTCGAATGACTCGTTTGTCACCTCTACTCAAAGCTAGACGTGGATCCTTTCCCATTACCCATTACTTTCCTACCAACCGGGGCCTCAATAACTTCTTGTATTTATATCTATGAATTGATTTACAAAAGAGAATTTTC